TTTCCTATGTCACATTTGCCTCCCCGGAGAAGAGATGGGCCACACAAGAGAGATGTGACCGACCCTCTCTGGAAACATACGATAAAACAAAACCTTTGCATCAAACAGAGAAGAGGCAGGCAGGGCGTAAAGCATACAAAACAAGAAAAGTAATAAGAGTAGAGATGACAAATCCGAGCCACGCTAGAAAAGACAAGAGAGAGGAGAGACCCAAGTGCGGTAATCATTCCACCAAAGCCTTGCCCAACGTAGGATATCCATACAGCTCTCTGTGTTTTTTTTTTCTTTAATTTCTGTGTTTGTTTTGCTCTGTTAGAATTGTAATACAATGGTTGCTGATGACACGATAAATAAAATAAAGGGGTCGTGGCATTAGGAAGGTTGAGAACCACACTGATCTCAAATATGCCCTTCAGAATTGCATATCAGAATGAAATCTGATTGCAAAGCTTTGAATGCAAACACAAGTGGAGCCTCCCTTCTCTGAAGCCGCTGGGAGCAGAAGCATTTTGCATCCTAAACATGCGTAAGATTCCTTGGAGGAAGGCCCAACACGGAATGCATGGATGTTTCTCACTCCGACGAGGAGGAGGAGGAGCTGGTCTCCACGTTCTGCCTTGGAAACCTTGGGCCAATCTCTATTTGGCGGCCCATTATTCCCCACACAGCCCTTGGCTGCAAGCCTCTTCCTTTGCGGCACACAGAACCTTTTTTTTTTCACGAGCTGCGGTTTGTTCTGCTAATAAAAACCACAGGAACGGCACATGGAGGAGACTTAATTTGAAACAGAAAACACAAAAAATAGAAACCTAAACAAAGCCTCCTTCGTCCAGAGCAAGAGAGAAAATCTGGATGGAGTTGGGCGGAAGGGGTTTCCTGCAAGATGCATAACAACCATGTCTCACTACGGTTTTTGCTCCTGGGTCATCAATGCCATTTCCTCATTTGGTTCTATGTTGCAAGTCGCTTCTGGTCGCCTCCTCCTGAGTAAAAAACCACCGCCTCCTCCTGAGTACAATGTATATGTGACGATGTGTATATTTTTATTCCTATGGTTATGTGTTATTTAAACAGTAGTTAATAAATGGTAAGTATGTAGGATTATATTTTGTTAGAGATGCTGGCTGGCTTGGCCTGAGTTGCCATAGCAACGGGGGTGGAGCCAACTGTCACCTAACTGCACATCTGTTTGAAATAGGCAGTCTGTAAGCCGGTGAGCTACAGGGAAGACTGAAATCTCTGGTGGGAGATTCAGGGAACTAGTCTGTGACCGTTAGAGTTACAGGGAAGACTGAAATCTCTGGTGGGAGATTCAGGGAACTAGTCTGTGACSGTTAGAGTTACAGGGAAGACTGAAATCTCTAGGTGGAGATTCAGRGAACTAATTTGTGACTAAAGGGGTTACAGGAAAGGACCCGGTAGTGATAAAGCTACAGGGGATTATTGATTCTGGGTTAAGAATCAAGGTTTGGCTGGGAGCCAATTCTGTTAAATAAGCTTTTTAGCTTATTTGTTTTATTAGGACAGTTGTCCWGGAAAGATACGTCTGCTTARYGAAACCTCTTAAAGTCTGTACCTAAAGTTKCTCATGAAACCTTACTATTGTAATCAACTAAGTTTGTGCCTAGTGAAGAAACATTGAATCGGTTATATTCTAATAAAACTTGTTACTGTTCTTTTTACAAGCCTTCCCTCTGTTACTTTTACTTCAAAGCCAAACAGCCTGCATAAGAAGTAAAACCAAACCAGGGACGTTAAACGCTATGCTATCAAATAAATAAATCCTTCTGTAATTAATAGTCCCTTTATAAACGAACTCTTAAGCTGATACTGATCATTGCCCAGCTTTCCTCACAAATCCGTGGCAGTAATTTCATGCTCCTTTACAGTATAATATCACAAAGGACTACCGTCTCACCCGCCTCATACGAAATCTGGTACAAAACAGGAGCTTTTTTGTTGAGTTCCAGGGCCAGAGAAGCAGATGGTGGAAACATGTCTGTCTGTCTGTCTATTTCTCTATCTATTGTACCTCCTTCTATGAAGCAGAGCTTAGATGGCCATTGTCTAGGAGGTTTTCCTGCCTGGCACAATGGGATGGACTAGATGACCTTTGGTGGGTCTCTTCGAACTCCACGATTCTATGATTCCCAAATGCCGTACTTTCAGGTGTTCTGGACCCCGGTTCCCAGAATCCCTGGACCCCGGGCCAAGGAGGAGAGATCCTTGCATGGCAGTGTATGTTGCGGGGTGGGCTCACCCTGGCGGAAGCTGGAGTCGATGGGGAGGTCGTGGGTGCTCCTCCGCCCGTGGGGGCCCCGGGGCCCCTCGCTGAGGTCCATGAGCTGGTTCAGGCGCAGCTTCCGGCAGTAGATGGAGGCCGCCTCGGGCTCCAAGGCAATCAGCAGCTGCTCGGGGCTCTCCGGGGGAACCAGGCCGGCCTGCAGCGGAAAAAGGAGATACAGTACGGCCCCCGTATCCACAGAGCCAGGCTTCGTAGCTTCATGCACCCACCTCCAACACAATATCTCCCCTCTTAGTAGTTTCTGGGTCCCTCAGTGGTCATCTATGCCATTCGTAGGCTGGAAGCCCTTGGTTTCCATAGGGTTGGCCATTACACTACGCAACACAATTTTTGTTCCTGGGTGATCAATGTCATTAAGAGATGGACAGTGCCAGGTGCTGTTCTAGAATGCCTCTAGAACATGGCCATATAGCCCGAAAAAAACCCTACAACAACCCAGCCAGTGGAGTTGACATAACAGGGGGGTGGGATGCTCCCTGCTGCCCATTTATTTATTTACCTGACTTCTATACGGCTGTTCTCAGCCCGAAGGCGACTCACAGCGGTTCACAACAAATAAGAACAGCAAAAATTCAATGCTTCAGTGTAAAAACAGTTAACAACCTAACATATTACATAATTAATAAACAATTACTACAATAACCATTCACTATTCACTATCGTCTCATCATCAAAAACATGTTCCAGATTCGTCATCCATTATTCCGTTCCAATGTTCATTAACCAATCTTTGCACTAATTATTCGAACGCCTGCTCAAACAGCCAGGTCTTCACTTTCCTGCGGAATACCATTAGAGATGGTGCTAGTCTAATGTCCATGGGAAGGGCGTTCCACAGCCAAGGAGCCACCACCGAGAAGGCCCTATCTCTCGTCCCCGCCAGCCGTGCTTGTATGTTATTGTCTATGTGATTTATTTTAAATGCATGTATTGTTATTGTTATTGCTTGTATTGTTGTTATTTGAGGTTTGTTTTTTTTTGGCTGATTGTTTTTTTTTTGTTTTTTTTTTTGCTTGTGTTTTGTGTTTTTGTTTTTTTGTTTGTGTTGTGTTGTTTTTGTGTTGTTGTTTGTTTTTTTTTTTGATTTTTTTTGCGTTGTTGGTTTTGTTTTTTTTTTTTGTTGTGTTTGGTTTTTATTTTATTTTTTTTTGTTGGTTTTGTTGTTTTGCCATTTTGTGAGTGTGTTGTTGTGTTGTTGTTTTTTTTTATTTTTTTTTATTTTCATTTTATTTTATTTTATTTTATTTTATTTTATTTTTTTTTATTTTTTTTTTTGTGTGTTGTTTTGCCGGTGAAGCAGGCGGGATCGAGAGCAGGGCCTCCCCGGATGATCTCAAAGTCCTGGTGGGTTCATAGGCAGAGATGCGGTCGGATAGGTAGCTTGGGCCGGAACCGTTTAGGGCTTTAAAGGCCAACGCCAGCACTTTGAATTCAGCCCGGTAGCAAATCGGTAGCCAGTGGAGTTGGCGCAACAGGGGGGTTGTATGCTCCCTGCGCTCCGCTCCTGTTAGTAACATGGCTGCCGAGCGTTGGACTAGTTGGAGCTTCCGAGCCGTCTTCAAAGGCAACCCCACGTAGAGAGCGTTGCAGTAGTCTAAACGGGATGTAACCAGAGCGTGGACTACCGTGGCCAAGTCAGACTTCCCAAGGTACGGGCGCAGCTGGCGCACAAGTTTTAACTGTGCAAATGCTCCCCTGGTCACCGCCGAAACCTGGGGTTCCAGGCTCAGCGATGAGTCCAGGGTCACACCCAAGCTGCGAACCTGCGTCGTCAGGGGGAGTGCGGCCCCATCCAACACAGGCTGTAACCCTATGCCCTGTTCGGCCTTGCGACTGACCAGGAGTACCTCTGTCTTGTCTGGATTCAATTTCAATTTGTTCGCCCTCATCCAGACCGTCACAGCGGCCAAGCACCGGTTAAGGACCTGGACAGCCTCCTTAGTAGCAGGTGGAAAGGAGTGACAGAGTTGGACATCATCCGTACAGATGACATTGCACCCCAAAACTCCGGATGATCTCTCCCAACGGCTTCATGTATATGTTAAACAACATAGGGGACAGTACTGAGCCCTGCGGACTCCACAGTACAATGGCCGTGGGGTCGAGCAGGAGTCCCCTAGTGACACCTTCTGGGAGCGACCCTCGAGGAAGGACCGGAGCCACTGCAAAGCAGTACCCCCAAGGCCCATTCCCGCGAGGCGTCCCAGAAGGATACCGTGGTCGACAGTATCGAAGGCCGAAGAGAGGTCCAGCAGAACCAACAGGGACACACTCCCCCTGTCCAGTTCCCGGCGCAGATCATTAACTAAGGTGACCAAGGCTGTCTCGGTACCATGTTCCGGCCTAAAGCCAGACTGTCCCGGGTCTAGATAATCCATGTCTACCAAGAACGTGAGTGCTAGAAACAATATCATACGAAAGCTGACTGGCACAACCTGGGGATCACAACCAGATACAGTGAAGACATCCACCCTTGCGCTGTGCTACTCTGCTGCTGAGTATGCATGCCCAGTGTGGAACACATCTCACCACACTAAAACAGTGGATGTGGCTCTTAATGAGACATGCCGCATTATCAGGGTGTCTGCGCCCTACACCACTGGAGAAATTACACTGCTTAGCCGGTATTGCACCACCTGACATCCGCCGGGAAGTAGCAGCCAATAGTGAAAGGACCAAGGCAGAGACATCTCCAGCTCATCCCCTGTTTGGGTATCAGCCAGCACGCCAACAACTTAAATCTAGACATAGTTTTCTAAGATCTACAGAGACACTCGCTGGAACACCTCAGCAAGCGAGAGTCCAAAAGTGGCAGGCTCAAACCCAGACCTCAACCAATGGCTGATACCAAATGAGAGACTCCCCCCCTGGGCACACAGAAAACTGGGTGACTTGGAAGGCGCTGAACAGACTGCACTCTGGCACCACGAGATGCAGAGCCAACCTTCAGAAATGGGGCCACAAAGTGGAATCCTTGACATGCGAGTGCGGAGAAGAGCAAACCACTGACCACCTGCTGCAACCTGAGCCCTGCTACATGCACAAGGGAGGACCTTCTTGCAGCAACACCGGAAGTACTCCAAGTGGCCAGATACTGGTCAAAGGACATTAAACCAACTAACAAACTCACAAGTTTTGTATTTTTCTGTTTGTTTGCTTTGTTCTGTTAGACTGGTTGTTCTGACACGACAAATAAATAAATAAATAAAACCTGGAGTGAAGAGGGCTTCCAACACTCTTCATCCTCTCCAGCGGATGTCTAGGTCCTCTCGCAGGACCCTTCCTCTCCAGAGGGCTGGCTCTGACATCCCTGGCTCGGTTTACCCTCCTCTCCAAAAACACAGAAGGAGAAACCCGGGAAGGAGGAGAAGGAGGGAGGAAGAACGCCAGCGAAGAGCAGCCAAAGCCACTAATTGGGAGGCGGTTGATGCCGCTGCTGCCTTGCAGGCGCCTGGACTCCGGGATGAATAGTGGGAAGGCCAGGCTCTGAGCCCGGGAAGGCCGCCTTGTACATTTGGATCTTGGTCTAGCATCCCCTGAATGTGTGGGACACAACCCCCATCATCCTCAGTCAGCATGACTTCCTCTGGACGGTGGGTTTGCAGTCCCAACTCTATAGAAAGCGTTTAGGTTGGTAAAATCTGGTTGGGTTGACCTGTCTTCTCTCAATGTATTGGATACAACCCCCCATCATCCCCAATCAGGATCACTGCCTGTGGACGATGGGTATTGCCGTCTGCCACCTATAGAAGTGGTTTTGGTGGAGAAAGCCTGGTCGACCCAACCTGCAAGAGGTGGATGATGCAACCCTCAACCAGCATGGCTTCCTGTGGATGATGTGTCTTGCAGTCTGACACCTATAGAAAGGGTTCAGGTTGGGAAAGGCTGGTCCCTGATTGTGCCTGTGGACGATGGGTTTTGCCGTCTGCCACCTATAGAAGTGGTTTTGGTGGAGAAAGCCTGGTCAACCCAACCTGCAAGAGTTGGATGATGCAACCCTCAACCAGCATGGCTTCCTGTGGATGATGGGTCTTGCAGTCTGACACCTATAGAAAGTGTTCAGGTTGGGAAAGGCTGGTCCCTGATTGTGTTGGAGGCAACCCTTATCATCTACAGTTAGCCCGGCTTTTGTGGATGATGGGCCTTGCAGTCCGACACAAACGAAGCTTCTGGAGTAGAACAAGGACTTTCAAAGCAAGGTTTCCTGCATGTATTGTCGAAGGTTTCATGGCCGGAATCATTGGGTAGTTGTAGGTTTTTTCGGGCTATATAGCCATGGTCTAGAGGCATTCTCTCCTGAAGTTTCGCCTGCATCTATGGCAAGCATCCTCAGAGGTATGCTTGCCATAGATGCAGGCAAAACATCAGGAGAGAATGCCTCTAGAACATGGCCATATAGCCCAAAAAAACCTACAACAACACAAGGTTTGCTCCTTTCAAGCTCAGACTGAAACCTAGCCTCGTTGGCCACTCCATGGACCTCAGAACCACAAACCAGAATAAACCCACGGCCTTCTTTCTGCCATGAAGGCCCTGCGCCAGCACTGGAACCGTGTGGTATTCCTCCTCCTCCATGGCACCACCTCTGCCGAAAGGAGTACCGTAACCCATCAGGAGGTGTGTCCAGCCTGAGGTTTGATGCTCACCGAATAGGCGGCCTCCCGCATGAACTGCTTGGCCGGCTGCTTCCAGATGGCCGGGACGGTGATGACCCACCGGATGGCGTCCCTCTCTGGCAAAGCTGGACACTGGTCCCTCAGCTCCTGCAAGAAGAGAACGAGACGGGAGATCGGACTGCAGGACGGAGCAAAGCCAGAAAAGGCTCCGTGGGTTAGGACAGTGGCTTTCACTTCACAACAGGACCTGCAGAAGATCAGTCTCTACACACGTGGCTATTTGTAATTTTGTCTATATCCCTGCTTTCATCCAAAGATCAGAACTCAAGGAGTGACCATCACTCAAAAAATTGATTTTGTCATTTGGGAGTTGTAGTTGCTGGGATTTATAGTTTACCTACAATCAAAGAGCATTCTGAGCTCCACCAATGATGGAATTGAGCCAAACATGGCACACAGGACTCCCATGACCAACAGAAACACTACAAGGGTTTGGTAGGCATTGGCCTTGAATTTGGGAGTTGTAGTTCACCTGCATCCAGAGAGCACTTTGGACTCAAGCAATGATGGATCTGGACC